TTTACTTTTTGCAATTGCAGTACAATTACTTAATTATTTATTTTGATCTTTGATAAGCGATGCAAGTATGTTCAGCGTTATATTTTAGGGAAATAAAGTTTAGAATGTGACTATTCAAAAGTAAAATTCAATTTTTGAAATTTTTTTTTTAAATTTAAGCAGGAGCTAACAAAAGAAAATACCCAGTATATATGACTATTAACTTACTTCCATTCCATTAACTTATTTCCATTACCATGATGGTGATTTTGCTGCTATGATTTACTGAGATATCATACAGAAAAATTGAATAATAATTTAGTTAAAATCGCAGCAATATTAATTAAAAATCCACCTGCTTACACGACCGTTTTCTTTAATTTCATAAAACTAACATTTTTCTATATTTTAAGTAACAAATATTTGCTTACGACCACAAAGTTGACTTGGTCTTTGATTCGGGATCAGGACAAAATTGTGTACGAGTTAAAATGAATACGTGATTTAAATTACATATTTCTTGCAAGTAATTAACAAGTATTAGTTTTAAGATTTTTCTCGACTTTTAAACTTGATATTTTAAGAATGTCAAAAACAGTCTTAATCTTGAGACATTTTATTCTAATAAAATTTGAGAACTATGCACCTTTATGTCCAAAATTTGGGACAAACATATTTCTGCGTGCAACTAAAGAAATAATGCATCAAGTCAAATGAAATTTTTTACATAATACATCCAAGTATGACAAAATACGATAATAACAAAATGGTAATGGTCATGACAATGGTTTAGTGAGCACCAAAGCAACATAATAAAAAACACACTCGTGTAGGTTGGTTAATATTGGTAATGACCCTTGGTTATGGTAATGAAGGTTTCACAATAAACTCTTATACTGTTCACGAAGTGAACAAATGTTATAGAACGAAGAGACACTAATACCGATTAAATAAGGTGAGTCACTAATGCCAATTTCTCCATCAAGGCATTTCTTAACTCGGCGAGGAATCTGGGAGGGAGTGACGAGTGCCAAATGCTCCCTCAAGAGCACTCTAGAAATGTTCTGTATCGTTTAGGTGGTGAGATTTATCTGACCACTGTATATTCTAAATGTCTTCGGCTTCAAGGTATTCCTCGTTCTATCACGCCCAGTGTAGATACGCGATGTCATCCGTGACAATAACACGACTCTAAGCAATCTTACTGAAGGCTTTGAGAGCTCAGCCCTATATATCAGATAAATCAAGGTGCCTTCCAGAAAGATGCGTTGGTCTTTGCGCCGGCCCAGACCATGATACCTTGACTTTCATAGTGGTTCACTTCCGAAGTATCGGATTTCTGGTTCTCTTCATCTGTGAACACATCGGAAATCATTATTCAGGCTGAATCGAGATTCATAATACCTACTGAATCGAGATTCATAGTGAATAAAACAGATCCACAGCGTCTGTGTCCGAAATTGATGTCCTGCTGGTCAAGAAAGCTGTGGATTATCAGGAAAGCAATCTGGCCTTTTTGAGATATAGAACTTACATCTTAAAGCTCTATATATGTTGAAAAGCACTGCAGTTCCTCTTCATAAATGATGACGAGATATGCATGATTGGACAGGTCGAGAAATACTTTTGAAGCTGAAGATATTCAAAGAATGATGTGGTCAAGTAGATCTCCAGACCAGAATACCATGGATCATATTTGAAGTGTTTTTGGCAAAGTTGCTACTCGCCATCCCCTCCCAGAACTTAAGGATGATAATAAGTGCCTTAATGAAGTGGAATTTAATGTTCCAAGATCTTATAAAAAGTATGAGAGCTCATTCTGTCATATCTTATGTTAAGCCTGTCATATGTGTTCTTTTGCTACAACATTTATTGACTACATTGCTCTAATGCCTATTAATTAATGATCTTGAGTTCATGCCATCAGCTTTCTTTTTTCTCATACTTTGATACATTTTTATATTAAATTTCACTTGATATTTGTTCATTATTTCTTAACCTTCAACGGTCCAAAAATATTTTTGGCTTGCGTGAGCCCGAAATAATAATAACTATACCTGGTGGGAAGTACTTCCCACCAGGTATAGTTATAATGATTAATTACAATACTATAATTAAAATTATTAATCATAACATTACTCATAGTTCTATAATAAATTGGAACTAAGTTGATTGCAAATATGACAACAATAAGTGCAATAAAAATGGTAAATTGATTTTAACCATCATATGCACAGTATTTAGTCCAATAAGTGAAAGTATATGGGTTAAACTTCAAGCATTCATTAACAACTGTTTAAGAAGGATCTTACGTATCAAATGGTTCCATAAAATTTGTAATGCAGAAATCCTTAGAAAAGCGAAACAGAAACCAATTGATCTTGAAATTAAAAAAACGTAAATGGAAATGGATTGGCGACGTTCTACGTAAAACTGAAAAATTCAAAGTAAAACAATTTTTTGATTGGGGTCCTCAGGGCGATAGAAAAAGAGGGAGACTTGAAAATACATGGCGATTGCGAACGAATTGAAAACAATGGGAAAGACATGAAAAGAGACAAAATATCTTGAGACGAGAGTTGAAATGGAAAGCACTGTGCTCCATTTCGGTGTGAAATGGACTGTTAACTCGTTTATAAGGATTTTACGCAAAAATGTTTTTGTTCCTTTACTTTTGAACATGAATTTAGAATAATATCAACAGATTTTTACAGACTTAAGAATTAAAAGGAAAGAGGGAAAAGAAACTCATATGATTTAAAATCAAGTCAAGAGCAACAGGTTAGATAACATCGTAAGCTCAAATCTCATTGAAAGGATTATGGCTTATGCCACTTTTAAAATGAAGAGTTTATTTCTCCAATTTGATCTCCGAAACCGGCAGCTTTTGCAAATGCGATGCCTCCTCTATTTAGTTAAATTGCTTTAGTGCTTTCCTTCTGCGCTTTTCCATTTTTGTTGTATTGGCGCAATTCAAGTGAAGTAAAATAAACCGGATTCGTGTTGATAGATAATTCTTTTCATTACACTCCAGAATCATTTGTCAAAATTAACTGTTGCTCTTATGCAAGCATAAAGAAATTGTTTGAAAAAATGAAAGGATGGCAAAAAGTTATAACTCAGGAATTATTTTAAGAAAAATAATAATAGAATTGAATTAAGTGAAAATAAGTATTAAATGATACAATAGGATATCCTATGTGAAATATTTGGCAATTTAGTTGGATTGTGTGGTAGTGAAACAGATTATGAGACATTATTTTTGTGTCCTATCTTTTCTTAAAAGATATATAATTAAAACAGAGGCAAATCAGGAAATTGGTGTGTGTCATTATGAACAATACGTTTTGCAGAGTTTAAACGACAAAACAATGTTCGTCCTATATTATAATTGAGGGCAGTATTTTGCATAGATAAAAATAAGCAACGGTCATTATGAATAAAAAAAATACAGGTTCTGGATATTTCATGTAATATGCACAATAATGCAAAAATTCGTTTCCGATTTTGTTTTGCAAATCTAAATTGGTTTAAGTGTGTAAATATAGCATTTAGGAAGGGGGGGGAGGTAAGTAAGTAAAGAAATCGGGTTAAAAATGATTTCAAAATTTATTTAACATTATATTTAGTTCAACGGTTGATTTAATCTTTAAATTTTTCTGAAATCTTGAAATCTAAATATTCCGAAATCTGGAAATTGTTTTTAAAAAAATTTTTCATGCCTAAAATGGATGTCTAAAGTGCGTCCTTTTCCACAAGGTGAGCTTCAATTAGCATTTTAAATGTACTGGGAAAAACCAAAAAAATTGCTATCTCGACAAGTGAGGTTTTGCTTCTTTTGTGTATTTTTTATATGAAACCAAATTTAAGTTAATACGAGAGAACGAATAGTATGAAAGTTTAAAAGGTTTTATGCATTAATATGTCAAAGTCGAGAATTCTTTAACTAAAAAAAGTTCATAACTTTTAAACCATGCCTTAATGATTTATATTTGTCTAATTGGATTCGGAAACAATACCTCACTTGTCTAGATAGGAAAGTCAAATGAGTAAATATGTAATTTTATGTTTTCCTTCTTAGTAAATTCAAAATGGGGGCTAAAGTTTACATTTGCTGGACGGCGGACTTTATTTTTTTTCATCTTGGATCCAACCCAAAACCTATTACATCAATTTCAAGCTTACGACCAATTTCTTAAGCCCTTTAAACAAAGATAATTTAGGTATGTATAATGATCTGTTCGCAATTATCAGTTTTTTTTTTATTGTTAACGGAACTGGTCTATTAATTTTTGGTCAAAACATTTCTAAAGTACTTCAAAGAAATTCAATTTTAGGTGTGCATATAATGATTTATATCCTCCTTTTTTATTGATAAGGCAACGGACTTATTTCTGAACAAAAAAATTCTAAAGTTCCTCAGAGAAATACAATTTTAGCTATGCATATTAATTTATTCGTAAATATTATTTTTTTAAATCGACATGGGAACTTGAATATAAATTTTTGGTTAAAAAATTTCCAAATTATTTCCCGTTAGAAAAATAAAATCTTCGGTAGGCGTAAGGATTTTTTTCTTAAATATATATTTTTTATTGAAACGGGAACCGGTTTATTGATTTTTAATTAAAAAGTTTCTAAAGTTCTTATAAGAAACACAACTTCCAATATGCTTGAGTAATCAAAAGTAGATTTGTATAATTAAATGCTTTATCTTAATATAATAATTATAATCAAATTAATTTTTAATTAAATTTTTAATTAATTACCATAAAATTAATTATTAATTAACTTTTTTTTAATTAATTATAATAAATTAATTATAATTAAATGTTTTATCTTGAAACAGCTTAACTCTTTTCCATATTGCCATATAATTTTATTATCAGGAACTTTTAACGGTCAAAATTCATTTTTATATCTTTAATGAATGAACAAAGTTCGATTTTACCTTCGATAGATATTTCGTTCCAAAGGTCCTCCATTCAATAGAAAATAAATAAATTACCGAACCTGCCGGTTTTCCAGACATCGCAAATATCCGTTTTATTTTTAGACGCATTCACAAAAGACCTTTGAAACGGAAATTATTTTTAGAAATACGTCAATTCTGTGAAGAATGGGCGGGTGTAATCTTGAATAATCGAAAAATTTTCAAATTTATAAGTGTCTTAAGATTAATTTATGACTCAAAATTTGGTCAAAGTTTCTAAAGATAATTTATAGTAATTAGAGACATGGAGGATCTTGAAATCATTTATATTGAGAAGTTTCAGAGATTTAGTATCATTAACTTGCTCTAGATGTACAAAGCACTCTTTAAAGGTTCTTTTATTTGTTTATATTTACAGCTCTGAAAAAGGTAATACATTTATGAGTTTTAATCTTTATTTATTTATTTTGATGATATAATTTTTTTCTGATGATGCTCATTAATCTTTAATCTTTATTTCATTCAATTTTACTGTTTTAAATTTAATTATTTTGAAGAAATTTTTTTTTGCTTACAATTAAAAGAAAAAAAAATTTTCTTAAAAAAATTTATTTAAAAAATTTTGTCCCTTTAAAATGCTTTGAACCTTTTTGTTGTCACTCATAAGAGCTTCCACATACATTTTCTAAAGTGTTCTTCCTGAATCCAGTTTGTATGTTGGAAAAATATTCATGGTAATATTTTAAAAAATCGTGTTTATTTTTTGTTTCGTATTTATGAGATGTATTTTTACAAGTGTGAAGTGCTCAAAATAATAACCCAAAATAAAAAAAGGCGTATTTTTAAAATTTGATTTCCCAGGAACTATTCGACGGATTTCACTCAAAGTTTGTGTTTTGAAATTTAAAATTATGTAAAAACAAATATAAACCCTACAGTTCAATTTTTTTTGACCATTATTAAATAAAATAATAAACATTTATTAAAAGTTATATTTTACATGAAATTACCTTTGGAAATTTTACAGTTTATAATTGGGTAAAAAATATTTCTCAATTCGATTAAAAACCCACAAAAGTAAAATTAACATTTCAGGGTGCAAACTTTGGGCAGCTTTCTTGATTAGACTATTCTGACTATATTCTAAGAATCCGGTTACCTCCTATATTTTGGGGGTTAGAAATCTGAATCTGTCAAAAAAAAAATATGTTTATTCAAAGAGAATACGTTTTTGTGTCTGATTTTGGAACTTAAATATCGTGAGAACTAAATAGTTAGCATATTTGAGGTCTCTCCTTGAAACCATTACGATTGTGTTCTAGAACGCGAAGATCCGATCATTAGATCAAAAGTTATTCAATGTAATCTCTCTTTCTTTTTTATTTATTTATTCATTTATATTTTTTTACGGACTGTTTATACAAAATTGGTTAAATTGAATTAAATAATTAAATTTAAGCTATTAAACCAACAATATTTGATAGAACGTATGCATGATTAAGAATTAAATTTTAATAACATTTAAATTTTAATATATAAAAAATAATTGAAATTATCTATTTCTTAATTCTTCATATTTAATGTACGAAAAAAAATTTAAAAAGTGTTATTAAATGTTATTTGTTTACGTTTGGAATATATATATATAATTGTTACTCGTATTGAGCTGTATATGCATAAAGCCAAGAAGATAATAGTAGTATTACGAATTGATTTTCAAGTTTCTTTAAAAACTAGTACAAAAAATAGTTTTTGAAAACTTTAAAAGAAAATAACATTTTCTGTTTCAGTTAGATAACATTAAATTTAAACATTAAATTTTTTACTCTACAAATAAAAGTAGTTGGTAAAATATGCTTTAGGAAAGGATAAAAAAAAGTTAGTAGCCGTTAAACAAAGAAAATAATTATGCCATAGTCTTATAAGAATAATAAAAACTAAAAAGACTATAATTTAGGTAAGTAAAACTTAGAACACTTATTTGGTAGAGAGAGAGAGATAAAAAACCTTTTTTTTTTATTTCTTTGAAGTATACTTGGCAGCTATGCAGTAATATTTTTTTATCTGAAATGTTTACATGATATTCGTTTTTATTTTATACTTGATTGTGTATGTTATTTTAAATGAAATGAATGATATCAAACTAAAGTTACTCTAAAGAAAATTTATTTTAATGCTGAAATAAAATTGTGAATGAAACTGTTAATAAAATAATTGGCAATAAAATTGTTAAAAAATGTTCATGTAAATAAATTTATGCATGTAAGTGAAATAATCTACCATATTTCAGATGAAGTTTACTAAAGAAGGAAATATTCTTGTGTTATTTTTGATAAGCACACTATTATACAATGGTAAGTTTAAGAACACTTTGTTGTAAGTTTAAGAACATTTTGTTAATGTGTTAATAGAAACGAAATACATGATTATCTAGATTTGGAAAAAAAATAACTGGACTTGAAGAAAAATTAACATTAGTAATACAGATTGTGAGATTCAATTAGAAGAAACAAATGCAAAGTGGTTTAACTCGTTGATGATTCTTACAACAATTCAAATAGGGAATGGTTTTTATCGCTGTTTATAAGTTTATTTTTAAATTTTAAAAATTTGACTATGAATGTTATGACTCATACGTGGTAACATGTAATTTCTTTCTCTCACTCTTTCTCTTTATTATGCTACTTTTGTTTGATTGATATCTGCTTTTGAGCGGTTTATAAACTAAACAACTGGTGAGAATGAAATAATTTTTTTGTTTATCTTACCAAAATCATTATCACAGCACTTCGGTAAAAATTAACGAGCCTTTTGGTGTTTTCACAGAACCAGAAACACGCTAAATTTTACCATTATCTGATAGTTTTGACCATACCGTTTCTTCAGTGTAAATAGTCTGTTCAAAATTATAGCACATTTCATAATTGCGTCAATAATGAGCGACTGATAAAAATTACTGAATAATTCATAATTGTTTGTATAAAGAGTAACTGAAATTTTTTTTTCAGAATGATTCATTATTTTGTGAATAAAGAGTAACTGATCAAAATTACAGTAAAATTCATAATTATTGTGTAAAAAGTAACTGAAATATTTTTTAGTATGATTCATAATTGTGTGAATAAATAGTAACTGATCAAAATTACAGTATAATTCATAATTGTTGGCATAAAGAGTAACTGAAATTTTTTTTAGAATGATTCATTATTTTGTGAATAAAGAGTAGCTGGTCAAAATTGCAGTAAAATTCATAATTGTTTGTATAAAAAGTAACTGAAATATTTTTTAATGCGATTCATAATTGTGTGAATGAATAAATAGTAACTGGATCAAAATTACAGTATAATTCATAATTGTTCGTATGAAGAGTAACTGAAATTTTTTTTTTATAGAATGATTCATTATTTTGTGAATGAAGAGTAACTGATCAAAATTACAGTAAAATTCGTAATTGTTTGTATGAAAAGTAACTGAAATATTTTTAGTATGATTCATAATTGTGTGAATAAATAGTAACTGATCAAAATTACAGTATAATTCATAATTGTTCGCATAAAGAGTAACTGAATTTTTTTTAGGAATGATTCATTATTTTGTGAATAAAGAGTAACTGGTCAAAATTACAGTAAAATTCATAATTGTTTGTATAAAAAGTAACTGAAATATTTTTTAGTATGATTCATAATTGTGTGAATAAATAGTAACTGATCAAAATTACAGTATAATTCATAATTGTTCGTATAAAGAGTAATTGAAATTTTTTTGTTCGAATGATTCGTTATTTTGTGAATAAAGGGTAACTGATCAAAATTATAGTAAAATTCATAATTGTTTCAGTAAAGAGTAACTGAGCAAAATTATAGTATAATTCCTATTTGTGTGAATAAAGAGAGGCGTCAAAATAAGAGCTAACACTGGTGAATATAACCTCTAACTGAGATTCTGATTCTAAATAGTCGTGAAGATTTTGATAAGAATTTATCTAATCACTAATGTCAGATATCTGTCTTTTCTAAAAGACACTTTTTTATCGTATATACAACATAGCGTCAGTTTAGCATTAGGAAATACAAAATGATAACTTTATCAGTGAATAGTAAATAAACAAATTAAAAATTCATAAAATAACAAAGTCTTCTCCACGGAGAACTTCTACCACGATTTCTTTTAAAATTTTACTGCTGATTTAAAAATAAAAGAGAGTTTTAAAAAAGACTGTGATTTCTCCCAGTTTATTATTAATATTATTATAAATATATTAAGAACCTGAAAAATAGATGAGTTAATTTTAATATAATTATGTTCTGAATTTTTAACTGAATTTAAAGGAGCGAATATAACTTTTTCTCTCTATACCTTTTTCTTAAATAGGTTTTAAATAAAGAAAGGGTATTGTAATAACAGCTTTTATTAATTTTAGCATTCCAATTTTAACTTTTATTGGCTTTAAAAATTGGTTTTGCTGTTGAATATTCATTTGCAAAGTTCATTAAAATTAGATACAGATGCACTCAAAATATATTTTAAAAAAAAGTTTTTAAGTTTAGAAACTTATTTTATACATTTTTAAATTTCACATTAAATCTGAAGATAAAAAAAGTAAATAAAACGATAGTATCTAAGAATATAAAAATGATATTTTTCTGCTAATTTGAAAACACACCCAATTTTTCGGCTTTAAGAACGAGCAACATTCTAAACTTTCAAGACGGTCTGCTGGTAAGGTTTTACAGAGCTATAAGCACGCTGTTGATTGTTGTTTCATGTTGTCTTCTTTTTAAGCCTACTTTTGAATTAACAACATGGCCATGTTACAGATAGATCAAGATGAACGTCAATACAAAATAAAGATGGATCACCATGAATTCCGTACCCGGCTCACACCGACCACAGTGCTGACGTAAAATATCCTCAGTGGTAGACGGATCATGGGTTAGAGTCCCATTGCCATCAAACTAACCACGGGAATATTTTGTTCTTTTCTTTCCTCTCCATGTAACGCAACTGCGAGTTAGTTTCATCAAAAAGTCCTCCACGAAGGCAAATTTCTCCCAATACTTGATCCAGGAGTTCCCTTATCCTCTGGATTGGGTTTAAAATTACAAGGCTACGGAATTGTACATTAGTATTTGTAAACCCAAGAATTTGGGTCGGCTGTTCAACGACGGTTATAAAAAATAAAGTAAAATCATGATGCAGGTTTGAATTACAGCAGTGACTGGTTGATACGACTCTACTCCTGGCTCATACTGACCACAGTGCTGACGTAAGATACTCTCACGGGTAGACGGATTATGGGTTAGAATCCTCCTGTCGTCGGGCGAACCATGGGATGTTTTTGTGGTTTTCCTCACCATGTAACGCAAGTGCGGGTTAATTATATTAAAAAAAATCCTCCACGATAGCTAGATATCCCAATGCTTAATCCAGGAGTTCTCTGGTTTTCTGGGCTTGGTTCAAAATTATAAGGCTTCGGAGGAGAGGATTGATAGTCGGACTGTTCAACGTTGGCTATAAAATTATAAAATAATAATTCGCCTGCTACTTATAAAACATAAATTACTTCAACTAGTTTCCAATTACAAAAGACATTTTGCAAAAGAACTGATGCTTTCGAGAGATTTTTTTTTAATCCAATTCCTTCAAATGATGAAACGTATTTTGCTCCTGATGAGGTCTCATTTACAAATATGTTTCTTGTTTTTAGTTGACTGCCGTCACATCCAAGAAATCTCACAAACCAAACAGAGGGATATCAACTGTTTGAAGACTAACATCGACGACTATTTGGACAATGTTTTGAAAAGAGCTAGCAAAGAGCTTCCAGACCCAATGAGGTTGCCACCAAGATCAGCTGTTGTTGATTTGAAGGATGGACTCACGTGGGGTTTGTCGACGCTTGCAAAGCTGGGAAATGCAGTTGTTGATTGTGATGGACAGAATATCACACTAAAAATCAAATTGACAGTCGAGGAACTAAAAGTAAGTCATTTTATGTTAGTTGTTCAATTTATTTTTCAATTTCATTGACGGATGACTTCGCATACTTTTTAAAGAAATATGATTTACATAGTACAGTGACCCATTAAAACAGCTCCGAGAAATAGCTCAGAAGTAACTCTTTAAAGTAGAGCTTAAAAGCGAAGTTACTTTGAAGCTCTCTTTTCAGTTCCTCGCGTAGGCTAGGATAGCCTGGTCGGTAGGTCACTGGGCCCATGTCCGAGAGTTCGTGGGTTCGAACCCGGCCGGCCGAAGACTCACCGTGTAGTAAAGTTCCCATAACAAATCAATATCTCTGGAGGTACTGGATTGGAGATCGATCGTTCTCTGATTCAGGTCAAAATTACGATCTGCGCATGAATGAATGGGTGTATGAGTGGGTCAGTCTTATGGATGGTGTTTTCAGTAGAAACATAAACAATAACAATATCGAGCTGTATGCTTGCTCTAGTTCCGGTTAGAAAGTTTGCAACTGCTTACTACATGTCATTCTGCGAGGCGATACTTTGAAACGGATGGTTTTGTTTTCAATAAAAGAAATAAATTAGATAATTTCTGAGCTCAAATTTGCCGTACTTCATAAGATATTAATGTTATTATGTAATTCTGGTAAGTTTGAAGTGAAAATTTGTTTTAGTTATTTAGAGATATATTCTTAAAAAAAGTGACATGGTTGCCAGATTTTGAATAACTCGCTTTTTTGGCAGTCTTGATTTGGCCTCTTTCCATAAGTTTATTACTGTTTGTTCTTGTTGCAAGCTGTGCACCATCTTATGTTAATGTTAACACTTTTAGCATTGTAAACACAAGTATTGTTAGCATTGTAAACACAAGTAATAAGGAATCAAATACATTGTTTGCAAGAATCTCGAAACACAATGATGCCAAATGGCTTTAAAATACAACGGAAACAGTAACCCGGAAATTTAGGCGGTACCGATCTTGCAGCGTTCCCTAGTGTAGAAAACACCATCCATAAACGGGTGTGACGTATCGTGTGGCAGAAGTCGAATTCTTGGCCACAGATGACGCCACTGGAAAATAAGAACATTCGCACCTCGGCCTAAACAGGCATACGTCAACAACAACAACAACAGTTCCTCGCGTGCCATTACACGGTAAATAGAAATCTTTTCAAGTGACGTATGCTTTTGATACTGATGTTTAAGTCGTTCCTTTTGCTCTACTTTGAAATGCTGCTAATATTGGGTTTGGGCAATTTAGTATACCCTTTAAAAGTATAACACGACTGAAACAAAACAAACAATTAAAAGTAAATAAACAATATTTATTACTAACTAGAAGCATGTTGACAGAGTTGACAACAGGCGGACAACGGATAAAAATATTTTGGCTTGTACTTTTAGCGCGCAAACTGCGTTTTACGCAATTATAAATTTTACTGTTGCTCAATAACTTCACAAGCTGTGTAAAAGCAACTTTACAGCAAGTTGTGTGAAAGAACATTCATGGTGTAATTTATCACCTAGATCCATAAGAGTTATGTAAGGTGTTTCTTTACACCACTTTAAAGTAGTAATGGCACCATTTTCAATGATGATATACACTAAAATGTTCCATAGCGTTAATTTCAGTGTTATATAATGTTACAGTGTATTAGTCTAATAATCGTGAATCAATAAAAAATCTAAAAACAAAAAAAAAACAGTAATGAAACTCCCCAGGATCTATCGTGAACACGTTTTCCTTCATTTTTTTAAGTAAGCAATTTTTTTTCTTCTTGTATAAATGACTTTTTTTTGTCAGGGAAGGTATACGTGGATTAAGGAGACGCGTAGGAGACACCGGGAAGGATATGTCACTTTCATGTCAAAGGATTTTGCAGCAGATGTCATTATCACCATCAAAAAACATAACGGCGAAGTTGTCCATCCTCATCTTGAAAGACTTGAGATCAAGAAGTTCAAAGACGTCAAGGTGGAGATTACTGGAATGGGACTCATTTCTTGGGCATTGGGAGAAATCACTACCCTGTTGTCCGGTGTATTTCAAAGAACAATTGCTAGCGCTGTCCAGAGTCCACTTGCAGAGGCGATTGAAAGGCAGATGAGGGATATAAATATTGCTTGAAATGTGGCCTTTTTTTCAATGAAAAAAATTAAAACCTAAACTTTTGATTGAAACTTTTAATACTGTCACATTTGTGAATATTCGGTTAAAAGTAATTCAGTTGAAAGGCTGAAGAAAAATAGAATTGTAAATACTTGTAAATAGATTTTTAAAATAAAAAGCAGTCTAGAAGAACATAAAAGGTGTTTTGTAACCATCACCCTTAATTTATTTTTTCAGATTCTTCTTTCTGAAAATTACGCATAAAAAGTATGACACATTGGGCATATTGATATTATCATTTATAAACAAAAATACTATTGAAATCTATTGCTTGATAGTTTGGTGCAGTATCATGCTGCTTCTAATAATTGCCCTTTTACTCTATAACTCTTCCCCTGGTCAATCAAACAGGTTTCAATGTTCTCAATCTCGCAGTTATCAGTATCAATTCGTTCGATTTTAATAGCGTTCTTATTTATTCCCCTAGCTTGAGGTATCCAACTAGTTTCAATAACTTTTTTTTTGCATATTAATATAAAATCTTTTAAAACTATTTTATTTGTATTATTACATGTAAAAACCTATAAAACTGACAAAAAATATTTTTATTGCTGTTTTTTTAATAAATGTTAATTTTTAGGCAAAAATGAGACTTTTTTTGCATATACTCTAAACACTGCAAAAAAAATTATTTCGCTTAAAACAAAAAATCATTTCAAGGCTATCGACTATGTTTTGTACTATTATCTTAATAGCAAGTGCATATACTACTGAGTTAAGGATCAATGTACTTAAAAAAGCAAATTATGAAAAATTTCCGCACTTTTCTTTGCGAAAAAAAAGCATAGAAAAAGAAATTCTACTTTTTTTTCTTAATTCGTAATTCAAAATACGTGTGCTATAATCATAAACACTCATGAAAAAATATAAACAATTCTTACAAAAACAACATGAGATAGCATGTTTAAGATAGCGTAAAATCTGAAAAAAAAAATATGATTTCGAGATAAATGCATTTAAAACTTAAAATCATTTGTCTATCCATTGTTATCCCCTCTCACATAACTGCTATAAAATACGAAATAATTAGATTACAAACAAAAATAAAGTATTTTTAGATAGCTAAGAGTACAGGGCTTCTAAATTTATAATAAACTGAACTACGAAAATTTTGCTCAAAATCATGTTTTCGCATTAGTCCACCTTAAATATTAATTTTAAGCCGTTTATGAAGATACATTTTTAACCTTGTGTTTGACAAGGGTTTTTAAAATACTCAATAAGGGTGACCATTACGAAACACCTTTCGTATCAAGCCTTGAAAGCATTCTTAAATTATACAATTTATATAGTGTAAATATGTTTTTGAAATTTATGTGAAATATTGTAAGAAAATGTATAAAAAACTATCTGCTATATGTGTAAATATTAAAATATGTAATGTTTAATACTGTGTATTTTAACGTAATGTTAAACATTACACTAAAATATGTAATGTTTAATATTTATATATTTTAAGTGAATCATACTTAATTCGTATTCAAAGAAATGAGCTTCAACGAAATATTTTTTCACAATGTTTTTACAAAAAGAAATTTAAAATGAGACATTCTATTATTCATTATTTTTTTATTATTAACAAATTATTACCCTAGTTTTTTCCAACTAAATGGCCACTTTAAACAATTATAGACGTAAAAGGTTTAAAATCTGATTTGCTTTAAATCATAACAGAGTTCAATGTTAGAAATGAAACCGTTACAGTTCAACAACTTTACTAATAAACTCGAATATTGTTTGTATTGTGATAAAATATTTTAAAAATAAATTGAGCGTTCTCAATTATAAAAAAAAATCTAAGGATTTTTGAGCAGAAAAAATTGGTAGATTTTGGTGAATTCAGCGATAAAGAATGCAGCTTATTATTTAGATTTGTTGTAGAAGATTGAAGAAATTTAGTTTATACACGAGGTCCACAATAAACCATTTAACTTGCAGTAGTTGGCTTTAAACTACACAGGTAAGTTTGTAGTAATATAGCATGATTAATTGCTAAATTTCACCAATATGTTTCTTTAAATTCGCATTCCACGTCCATGTTTTAACAACAGAAAAGCAACATTTAACAGCTATAAACAGCCTGTTTGTAGCTTTGTCTTTGTAGCGTTAATGACGTCAACATAAAGCTAAGACACATAGCATCTAAAATTAACGCGAGCATGAGCAGTTGCTTCAAATCTAAACTAACGTAAAAGTACGAAATCTCCCTAATTATTTCACTTTGAAAATCAATTCTAAATATTGTTTTAATTTTGTATTTACTGAATAAAAATTTTACTGAATAATTTTTTTTTTATAATTACAGAGATGCCCACTTGCTCCAGACAGCAAATGAATATTTTTAAGTGGTAGTTTGTTAATGTGTGATTCTTAGTTTAATAAATTCAATTTATTAGGTTTTTATTCAGCACTATTTTTAAATAATTCGAAGGCTTATATAATTCGCCAGTTTGTTACAGTTAAGTCAGTTTAAAAAAGTAAGCAAAATTAGTCAGATACAGTCAAACCCCGCTATAGTGAACCTTCAAGCGACCGAAATTTCGGTTCACTATAACCGGGAGTTTACTATATCAGTATTGCAAGCAATTTTACCTAATTTTTCCGAACTGCACACATTATTTAAATAAATTACCAATAAAAAGAAATACAAAAATGAATAAAAAAACAATATGTATTAACAAAAAATATGCTATCTTTTATTTTCTTATTACTCTTCGTCTTGTGTACAAAAAATTTAGGGATGACCTTTATTTTGGGAAGGGAAACTGAGATAGACGAAGCAAACAAGAAAAATGCTTATGTCTACATTCCACTAAATAGATGGTTTTAAAATTTGGTATATGTATATTATGTCGAAATTTCAAAATTACCTAAACATGAAGAAAAAAAATAGGTCGAAGGCAGAAAAAAGTTCATAATAACCAATTTCCTCTCTTATTTTGGTTCACTATATCTACAAAAATTAATATTATATGTGTATAGCAAGGTACAGGAGCGAACTTTTCGTTCACTATATCCGGGAGTTCACTATTAACCATGTTCACTATAGCGGAGGTTGACTGTATTTACAAATTTCAGTGTGTTGTTTGCCATTTTTTAAATTATTGTCGCGCTTCCGGAGCAGTTGGAATCTCTTTAATTATGATCCTGTTTTCATCATCAACACCCATTTTCATCATCATGTTTTCATAATAATCTTAAATTATGCCATATACACCTCCAACCGCACTAAATTCGCTACTATAATTATTATGTATTGAAGATGCAAACTTTACTGCTCTAGGATCAACTTTAACTATACTGATTAATTTGTGCAGACGACATTTCAAATTACAACATAGGGTGATTAAGAAGTTGTTCATTGATCCTTTATAAAATGTTCCATTAGACGCATGGTGAAATTAATGAAAAGTAAAATTAATTACTAGGGGCTCAAACTTTCGACCGCTGTCCTGACAAAACTCTTTCGACCATTATTTCGTAGATTCTACTTACCCTTCATATACTCAAGTATCTCAAACCCATTGAAATAAAAGTAGGCTTATTCAAGGAAAGCACGTTTCTGTGAATGATTTTGGAATTTCAAATATCGTCTGCCTGTAATAATTAATCAGCATATTTAAGGTTATTCTCTTAAACCGTTAATAAAACATTTTAGTACGTGATCAGCTGGGACACCGGTACCCCTTTTATATATTTGTTTTTCTGATGCTCTAATTACAAGCAAAACTGTATTCTGGTACTTTTTTATCATAAAAAACAGTCTAATAGTTACTTAAAAATATGTTAGATTATCAGAATTATATTTGTTATAAAATGTAAAATCTAAAAATGTAGTTTGAAATTTTTTTTTCATTCGCATTCAAAAATGTATAAATAATTGAATTTGTAAATTAAAGAACTTTCAATGATAAAGAACTGTTTTCTTTTAGATATAAATAACTGCAAATAAGTGCAAATTAAAAAAGAAAATTATTGTTTCAAAGATCTTACCTTTAACGGAGAAAAGGACATCGGCATTTCATACTGTATTTCATAACAATAAATTAATAAAATGCTAAATATAATATTTTTATTTATCTCGACCAAAATTACTACGAAATAATGAAAAAAGTATGAAAAATACGTTTAATAAAAATTCTAAATCAATGGATTAAGATGTTCTCTTTTTTAATTTTGTGCATTAAAACTTTTTTTTTCGTCCAAAAAAGTGGTCATTCTCGTTATCAAACTCTAATATAAGAAATTTTAACTTCTAAAACAAATTTTATTTAAAAGAAATAAATAAAAAGAACAACTTTTGGAGTAATAAAATTATAGCACTTTTATGGTCTTGATGTTTCTCAAAAAGTTGTCATCTTCGTTTGCAAGACTTTTCCTTAATGACTTCAGTAATAATTCTGACCTTTAAAAGTTTTGCTCATTTACGTATTGATGAATTGAATCAAGCCATGTATTCTTTTAGCTAGAGTTACCATTTAAAGCCTTTTGCCTGTCCCAAATGTATTACATCCTGTCGTAGATTTTCGTTCATTCCAAATTGTTATGTTATTTGTAATTGCCTAGTGTTTCGCCCACACTTTAAATAGCCTTTTTTTCGCTGCTTATATTAACTCTATACTCTGTTGCAGGATAAGAAAAAACCATTATCTTTATGATGAGAGCCTGTTTGCATCTACGTGCATGTCAAATGAATGCCAAGACCCCAGCGCGAACGTATATCAATATCGCCAATTCTTGTATCGACGTTGCACGGCATTATTTTTGTTTGCTTTCTTGACAATAATAACAGTTATTAACAATAATAATCAATTAAAAAGTAATAAGAATTAATAAAGTGATATCTTAAAATCGGAAATATACGTCTTTCTGTTCGCATTTAAAGAAAGAATAATAAACATTGTTTTTTTGCAATCGCTTTTCTTTTACAGCGAAACTAAAGTAAAGATTTCTTATCTCACATTTGATTTGTTAAGGGCATGTCAGCGTAGGACACTCCATTTTTAGTGGTCCAATCAAATCTAATGATGTTCTACCAACGTCATATAGTTGCTTCTTTTTCAAGAACGAATGTTCTCCTTATTTATCGAAATATGTCGCCAAGTCTAAAAATCCAGTAAAACTACAAGACCTTCTTTTTTAATAATTTTATGATATAGATTGTACGAGATAGCGCGAATTAAATTTCTGCTTGACGAGTTTAACTTTTAAAAGCTGTTATATTGTTTTGAAAGCATATTTGTACAATTTGATATCGTAATAAAATGGAACTATATGCAGTCGTGGAGGATTACATAAATCCTGTACAGCAATGGTCTTTTCTTAACTTGCAACGGAGAATAATATTAATTATTACTGAAAGTTCTAATTCTTTTCATTCTTGCAAAGTTGTGAGCCGATTTAGTGCGATTTGCTTATTTTATTAGAAATATTCTGAATAGAAATATTCTCACGGTGATGTATTATTATTTCTATGTTATTTTTAAGATTTAGTTTGTAGATTGT